CTATTTCTTTGGCCTAAGGGTAAGTTTCTTTTTCTCCATCAGAACAACATATACTGTGTATACGCTCAGGTTATCACTCAGCTTTCACATGAAAGTGTGGGGGTGGACCTAAACCAAAGTAAAATAGGCTTTATAGAATATGACCTCACAGCTAAAGGGTTTGCTTGAAATAGCAATGTTTTCTTTGAAATTGATGCTAAAACAACCATTTTAGCGGTCATTTATTTCTGTCAAGAATTTCAGATTCTGTTTAGGAGAAAAAAAAGCTGAGAATGAGGATGTTGTATCGCTTCATCTTTTCTCATTTTTGGTTACAAAAATATCAAATCCGAATGAATGTAAAATGACCCAGTGTGATGTTGATAAAGCATCTAGTTCATATTTTGCCAGGCATATGTAAGGTGCCTGCTGAGGTTGAAATAAGAGTGTTTCAAATACCAAAGGATTAAAAGAAAACATATTAACCATACAATTTCCCTTAACCCAGTTAGAAAACTGTTTTATTTGCTTGTTTCATCTCAGTGCAATAAAGATCTTTGGGAAAGTGCTGTCTATTTCAGAGAGTTCTTTCTGCGGTGTTATTTTGGCTGCATTTTTCCCATAACTGATTTTTACCTCATTGCTATTTTTTTATAAAGGCCACACATTTTGAAAGATCAATTTGAAATCAAATCTCAGAGACGGACTGAATCTTAACAGAATTGAGGTTAGGAGAGCCATTTTCTCTGAAGGTGCTGTTTCTCAAAAGGATTTTGTTCTAGGCACTGACAACAGTTTTGAAGCACTTAATTTCCTCGACTAGCTCCTTTCCCCATTGGTGTTCTCTAATGATGCCACAGGTAAGGGCCAGGCAATACAGGGAACAGTGTTCAGCTGTAGGTGTGAAAGAGGTGCTGGAGACTGATGGGCTTCCCTGCTGTCTTACACTGTATCAATTCTGCTGCTTTCTTATGTTACACCAGTTCCAATTTCCAAAAAGATTTGTCTTTCAGTGTTGGTAAGCTAAGCTGATGAAAGCACGTGCAGTCAATAAAGAAAAATAGCAAAGCTTAATTCTTGCCATGGGTTGCTCTTTAAAGCAATTGATAATATGCTGTTACATCAAATGGCATTGTAACTTGGCTTCAGTTTTCCCTATGCATACATGGCTCAGGGAGAAAACTAGTGGCTACCCAGGCTAAAGAGATTTAGCTTTATTCTAACTTGTCCCAGTATTAATCAGTGACACAATATAGAAAATCTTTAGTTATCTCTGTCAGGAAGAAAGTGACACTTGTAAAATGCAGTTCAGATTTCCACATTTTCTTTAAAGAAGAAATGCCAATATCATCAATGTCGTAGAAGCAGTGTTTGCTCCTTGGAATCATCATCTGTTCATCCATTTAAAACATTTTCAAATGTCCAACTTATTCTTTGTGTAATCATTCTGTACTTATAGGAAGTTATCTTGCTTTTGTGATTGTTTTCTGTGTTATATATGTTTGTGGTGCTTGCTGAAGTACCTGGGCGTGTAGGAGTATTTTCCCTTGGGCTGCTCAGAAAAACAACATGTGTTTCAGTAGGATTTCCCAGTGAACAAAATTTTACATGAATGAATAAATAAATATTTTATGTAAATGCTTTCATTGATTCCCAGAGGCATTGGCCCTACAAATTCCCTTACAACATGCATTTCTGCATCTTTTGCAGTCAAAATTACTCCAAAAAAGACAAAATTTTAAATATTTTATTCATTGCTGGGGGTTCTACCTGCTTCATATGATCATTTTCAAGTCAGTTCAAGCTGGTACCTTCTTTCTCTGAGCATTAAACGCCTGTTATTATTGTCAGCTATGGGAAGGTTAATTCTTTCACCTTGGGGTGGTTAGTTGGGAGAGGAAAAAAAAGGAGGGGGGGGGGAGAAAAAAAGTCTAGTGACTGTGTGAGTTAATGGTGTGAGCTTTTTAAATAAATTAGCATTTCAGAGTTGTTCTTAGTGGGGCTCATACCCTCCAGCATGTGCTCCAGCACAGCAGTTGCAAGCTGAGCACCCAGTGCTGTACGCTGCCTCTCTTCCAGTTTCAACATTTTGACACTATTTTAAGCTCTTATTAATGTGATTAGCATAGCATTTATTAATTAAGGCATTCTTTAAAATATGTGTTGTTCAGGTATGAGGGTCCTGTGACCCCTGTCTTTGAGGAGGGCAAAATAGTTGTGGTAGTATTTATTCCTGAAAAGCCCAGGATACTTTCTAGCCCGTTTTCCTACAACATGTAGGTGCTTTGCCTTCTGCATATAGATTAATGTTTGTTTTAAAAACAAAAAAGGGCAAAAACTAGTTATCTGGACCAGTCATGTCTGGTTTTGTGGGGGTTTTGTGTGATTATGGGGGTTTGTTGTTGCTGATTTTTTAATGCTAATTAAGGGGTGCTGCAGTTATTTACATTTGGGAGGAACTTAGATACTTTGCTGATGAGCACTCTAGGAAAGTCTGCAGGGAAATAAGATTTGAAAATCAGTCTAGTGTTTGAAATGACTGCTGTAATTAAGGGACAAAGAAACACTTTTAATACTTTGACTGAAAAAACCCAATATTTAATCCTGGAGAATTAGTCAACTAAGGTACCGAGCCCCAGGTACCACTTTATAATACATTTATTTTTTTAATATAAGGCATGTCAAAGAGAGAACTTTTTTTGTGATTGTTACAGGATAATACAAATTCCATTTGAGTACTTTTGAGGTATGGTTTTGTAGACTGTCTTTTTCTATTACCAGATATCTCAGTCTCATGACTAGTCCATTCAGTTGGAGAACATCTATATTATTACTAGCATTGATTGCTCATAAAAAGTAAGGCTTATAATTAGGAGAGCACAAAGTTACTACCTGGAAGAGAGGATAAGAAGAAAGTGAAATGGAAAAGTCACTTAATCTTAGTATTGCAGTTCTGCAAAATATAATTTATTTTTTTCCTAACGTAACAGAATTTTATGTTGATAACAAGCTACTGAGTTAATAAATCTGTTGCAGCTATTGAGACTTCTCTTTTAATAACAGAACTAACGAAGGAGCATTATGGAAAGGAAAAATACATTTTGTAGTGTATAGTTTTTTCAGAAATATTTTCCTCCCCCTTATCAATGTGTCTTTAATTGGCTGTAATTTCTACTTTTATACACACAGAGTAGAAGGGAGAACGTCTTAAGGGTGAAGTTGTCAAATTTCATAAAATTAAAATACATTGTCTAAAAAATAACTGTTTAGATTTTTTTGTTGTTTACTTCATGGCATGTATTTATTGTACTTATACACTAAGCTGCTTATGGTTTTGCTTATTTTTTTTACATCAGTAGATTCATATTATGTGGTGAATGACGTTTATGTATCACAAGCACCTCTACAAATATCTTATATGTTATAGATATTATTTATTCTCAGCTCGGTACTATATTGAGTGCAAGAAGACTTGAGCAAGTAATTGTTATAAGAAAGTCCATGTATTTCTTCTAGTGGAGGTGTAAAGTTTTGTGTGGTCCAAGATTACATTCCAATATAATTGTTGTTTAACCTGGGAGCCAGCAACTTGCTCTTCCCACCCGTCCGGTGGGATGGGGAGGAGAATGGATGAAAAGTAAAATTTGTGGGTTGAGATAAAGACAGTTTAATAAAACAACAAAGGAAGGAATAATAATAATAAAGAATATGCAAAACAAGCTGTGCACAATACAGTTTTTCTCACTGCCCAATGACCGACTGCGCAGCCAGTCCCCCAGCAGCGATCGTGGAATTCGCAGAACTTGCAGATTCCTGCCCCCCGGCCAACCCCCATTCACAACCTAAGCGTCAGCTCCATGGCGTGGAGCATTTCCACTGGCCAGCTCGGGCCTGCTTGCCCGGCTGTGCTCCCTCCCAGCTCCTGCATGCCTGCTCACTAGCTGAATATGGGAGATGGGAAAAAGTCCTTGATTTCTCAGCGACAATTAAAAACATCATTGTTATCAACACTGTTCTCGTACTAAATCCAAAATACAGCAGCCACTAGGAAGAAAATTAACTCTATCCCAGCTGAAACCAGGCCAATTATATAGACTAAAAAGGAACTACTGATTTGATTTCTCAGCATTGAATTGTATATTTACTTCATTTGAATTTGATCCAGCTAGCTAGAAGATGAAGATTATCTTATGATGTAAAAATATGCTTTGTCTTCCATTTTAATCCTTCATTGCTCTGCCTTTTACTGCAACAAGAAAAGGTCCATTCAGCTGATTGAGAAACCACTTTTAAGTTCATATGTTAATTTCTGAGCTAGATTATGATGTCTGTAATATGAGCATTGTGGATGCTTCTTAAATGCCCTACTTTTAAAAGAGATGGACTTCTGATGTTAAAGTAAGAAACAAATTTTTCATCTGCATAGGTAGATGGGTTACCCAGAAGGCATGACTGTACATACAGAAACTATTATCATATTTTCCAGTCATTTTTACATGCTTCTAAAGTATATACCTGAGCCTTTTGGCAATGATTTTTTTTATATTAGCCTCCAGATTTTTCAGATATGTTAAAGCTTTCACCTTGATAGTAACTAAATCTTATCGTCTCACCCCTCTATTTATAATAAGCTGAAAAATTTATCAAAGTGTGATTTATATCCTACTTGCCTTTGTTTTAGTTAGATTTTCTATAAAGTGCTCTAAGATTTTCAGAAAAATCTCTTGCACGTGCTGACATTGTTTCTCACTGGTGATAACTGAATCATTGTATCCCAGTTTCCTTGATTAGAAAAACTTTGTGGTTCTTTCCAGTCTCTCTTGAATCTTTCAGATTTTGTGTTCCTATCTCTAGAAAATTATAATTACTTCCATTTGAAAACTGGAAGTAATTTACAAGAATATATTACTTCTGCTAATTGGGAAAATGCTTTGTCATCAGCTGAAGAAGAGAATTACAATGCTTCTGGTTTTTACAGTTTTGTGTTTTATTTAAGTCCCTACTCAATTGTGCAATTACAGGAGAATTTGAACCATCATTTGCAGAAAATGTTTGTCTCTACCATGATGACAAAAAACAGAAAGGAGAAAAATCTAAAACAACAAGTATGAAGAAATCAACATTTCTTAGACTCTCTTAACCTGTTTTTAACCTGTACAGTTGACAATCTTGAAATTATATCAAGAATTAGTCTGCTGGTGAAGGCGCTTGTCCCCACTGAGAGCGAGTATCACTAGACTATTTACTATTCACTGTTTACAGAGGAACATCAGCACGTTTGAGTTGATAGCTCTTCTCCTTGGGTTTTAGACAGCATTTTTATTCTTTAATTTCCAGTGCCTAGTGACACTGCAACCAGTGGAGAGATTTATTCCCGTGCAAAGCAGATTGACTTAGGGTAATTTGAATACTTTATGCATGGATAGATTCATTAGGAAAAGGAGGCAAGGCAGAACTATAAAAAGAACTAATAATCTTGCTAAAGGAGCCGTTAATTCCCTATAGCATTGGAGACACTTTCACTGAACAGGGATAAGGAAGGTTGATTTTGCAGAGCCTGTGCAGTCTCCACAGGCGTCCTCTGTTCTTTGTCCAGAAACAGATCACTGAGATGACTTTCTTTGTCTTTTCCAGAATGTTATTTAATGTGCTAGGACCATTTGGCTTTGTTAGCTTAGAACAGTATCACAAAATGGTTGAGATTGGAAAGGACTTCTGGCGGTCATCTTGGCCAGCCCCCTGCTCAGCAGGGTCACCTCAGGCTAGTTGTCCAGGACCATGTCTAGACTTTCAGTATCTCTAAGAAGGGAGACTCGACAGCCTCCCTGGACAACCTATTCCTGTTGGAGTCTCCTGCTTTATGCCCGAACTGTCCACCTTTGTAGTTTCGTGCTCTTCCACAGCAGTACCAGTACCACCAGCTTCCACAGTCTGCTGCATTGTGGAAACAGTGAGCTAAATCAGCTCATTTGGGAAAAAGCTGAGAAAACCTGCTTGCCTGCAGTTCATCTGTCAGACTTTTTGCTTCTGAAGTGACTGTTGTTTTGTAATATTCCAGGACTGCGTAGGAGTTCCAGCCGTGTATTAGGACACCCTGATGCTGTAACAACGTAGATAACCGTACTGCTGCAAACAAAGAGCAGCAACCTGCGTATGACAGGAGAGAGTAGAAGAGGCTAGGTCAGAAGTACGCAGTCACAGAAAAAATAATAAAAACATTGCGTAGCAAGACCATGTTTTAAAAAAGAAAGATCAAAACCTCCAGAAAACGAAGTGGGTGTTAATTTTCTGCCCCTTTTTGTGTGTGTGCATGTGTATATTCATTACTTTAAAATTTTATTTTGAAGGCATTTAGGAATGTGGCTGGTACTTCATGATTGTTTTCCTGTGATAGAGACGTATTTATTATTCATTGCAATAATTACTGTGTAATATTTTATACCAAAAGTTGTTCACATTGCACAATCAGGAAATGCTTAGGAAGTGGCTGATTTAACTATTCTGTTTTTAACTCTGGACCAAATTATGGTGAATAGTGTTCGTGCTTTTATACTTGTAGCATCTGGTAGGCTTTTCACCACCACACTGGTCAGTACATTCGCGTGGAACTTGGAATGTATTCTACCAGAGCTTCTGTGCATAAATTGTTTATAAAATAAGATTTGTACTCAGATTTTTAGTTATTGTGTGCTGTTTCCAAGGGGACCGTGTTTCAGGATTCTCCTAATGCTTTCATCAACCAGCTTCTCTGATCAAGAAAGTAATTTATTGCTGATTGCAGAACTCTTGAACTCAGTCTGGCAGCTGCAGTGTGAAACTTCTCTGATCCAGTCTCCTAGTTACTTATTTACATATCATTTGAAATGATTTTCAGGGCTGTTTGAAAACCTCTTGACATTGCATTATCCATGTTTCAAATCTTATGGTGATTTATTTTTTCCTCTCTTTGTATTACAGATAACAGACGAGTAACTTTGGAAAGGTCTCGTTCTCGCCACAACGGAGCAATTGCAGCTGTATGATTCTTCTGATGCCAAAGAATTAGTGAATTGTTTTATTTACAATTAAACAGATATACTTTGAAAAGAGTTTATCATACAAATTGGCAATGATCATAAAGGAATACTGATATTGATTAAATGAGAAGGTGTATAAACATTACGTATTTTAAAAGCTATTGCTAAATAATCCACATACTGTATCTTATTACCCCAACTACCAAGATCTGTAAACAGTGTTAAACAGTAGGATATCTATCTCATTTTCTTGTGTTCTTTCTTTTTTATTTTTTCCTTTTTTTTTTTTTTTTAAAGCTGGCAACTTACATGAAAGGAGTTGGGGATTTCTAGGTTATGTTTTATACGAGTAAAAAAATACAAATTTGTTGAAAGAATACAGCTGTGGATTCCATTTGCAGTTCTGATTTGGACATGAAAGGAAAAACATAATAAAATTGTATGTTAATAAATTCAGAGATGAGCTGATCTACATTACCAGAATCTTTTTTTGTAACCATAAAAAAGCAACACACAGCCCCAGTCAGGTTGCTGAATCGTATCTCAGCGTAAGGCCTGGTGGATTCAGCTATTTTGGCTGCACATAGGATATACCACATATCTACACTTTTGGTGATATGATGATGTATAGTTAGTTATCACTGCTGAAAAAATTTAAATAAAACAGAGCATAGGATTTTACCAAAATTAAATGGTATCAAGGGCAGGATATGTTTTTAACTGTATCTAAGGAGGGATTTTTCTAATTATGCACTTATATATTCTTTATAAAGATATCTGGGGGAAAAATACGATTGTCCTATTTTAATTACGCTAAAAATACCTTTGTGTAGGTTTTTAGAGACAAGCTACATAATGAAGTTATTCAGAACTGCCTCTTGAGTTTTTCCTCTGTTTCTCAGGTAAAATATGTAGCGGGATCTCTACTGGTGGATTTTAGTGCTGAGGGTTTAGCAGCTAAGAACAAATTTTCTACCTGGAGCACTCTATAGCAGTGATCAATGATTGCAGCAGTCTGATTTTTCGGGAAGCTCCTCCCGTTCTCCTTTGCATACAGGCCCCTGCACTGCAGTACCTCAGGTGAGCAGTCAGTTCCGTAGCTGACACTGTGTACGTTCTGCCACTCGATGGGGAGCGATGGTTCCCTTTTCTCCCCAGACTCTAGTTGAATGTACAGTCTGTTTGGTGTTCAGGTCAGTCTTCACCATCCTTTTTACTAAAGGTTCGTTGCTTATCTGGATGGGATGGAGGATTTTAAGTGGGAGTTCCAGTGGAACTACTCATACGTTGTTCAGCTATGATATTTAAGAAAATGGGATACAGTGTAGTAGATGGCACTTGTTCTCAAATGATTATTGCTTTTCACTGGTTGATGAATTATGGTGAATACTTTTATTGCCTGGTGTTATGGAGAACTTTTTTTTTTGAAGTTATATAAAGAATGTTTGGAAGGTAAGCTGTCACGTTGTTTGCTGTGCACAAACTGCTAGCTCTAGAGGAGCATTCGATACTGGGGCAGTGTAACTTTGCACTACTGCTTGAGCCAAGCATCTTTGTACTGTAGATTCTTTTTGCTTCTCTGGTAAGATACTCTTAAGTCTGTCTGGCTAGTTTGGGATAAATTCTCACAATTTCAGACTACAGTGATCGATATCCAATTATTGTAAGAAATGATACAGCTCCTTTTCAATCTAGTATTGAAATATTTTTTTTTTAATTGTCTTCAAAGGAAACGGGGCTTTTGCCCATTGCTATATCTCTAAACATAGGAATATGGCTTAAGCCTAGTGAAATGTGTGCTGTCAACTAATGCTCTTCCTAAACTGTTTGGCGGTTTTTGTGTTTTTAGTAGCAAACTAGAGAGTTGTATGGTACTTCAGGAAAAAAAAAAATGCATGCGACAGGATTCTGTCTCCCTGTTTATCAGTAAGGGATGCAAAGAATTACATCCTGTTTCGTGTAAGGTCAACATCAACCTTGTCTTGAAGCATAACCTTTTAAAATGGAACTACTAAATTTACAGTTATAAAAATTTGCTTAATGTACAAAGCCAGTTTAAAAGGATTAGGTTCATAATGTCTATATAAATTTGTACTACAATCAACAGTGTATTAGAATTCAAATTTTAAAATGAGCATTTTGCTGGGATTTACAAGTATTGGTATAATCTATATGTGTGAAAACTCAAAAGCTCACAACAGAATCTTTACACTGTAGCAGTAATTATTAGTGCACAAGTTTTTCATTTCCATGGGTTATATTTTTTTTAAAGCTCTGTGAAAGCTGACTACAGATTTTCAAGAACCAAATCTTAGGGGGAAAAAAAAAAGCAAATCCAAAATACCATCATCTGATGCTTCTATTTTACTACTATTTTTTTCGTATTTGAAACATTTATATAATTTAATGGACATATCTGTTAGAACAAAAGTGTCTTTCAAAGGAAAACTAGTGTAGAAGATAATTTATGTAAATATAGGGTGCTCGTATTTATGAAGTCTAAAATATTTTCTGAAATTGATGCTGGTCACTTTGTCTTTTGATAGTTTTTCAGTCTATATTAAATTGCAGATATTTTTAATGTTTTTATTATTGATCTAATTTTCAGAGGTGTCACATGTTTATCTAGAAGTGTAGAAGAGTAGCACCTTTTTCAGAAATGCACTTGCCTTATTTTCTAATTTTAAAAAAATGAAATATATCAGTTAAATTATATTTGTATTCAAAGTTATCCCAGAAAGAAAATCACTGGAGGGTTCATACATAAATTTCTTGCTAATTATGTTTCACTATATGTCCTCTGAGACATTACATTAACAATATACCAGCACATCTGTTTGCATTCACATTTTACCAGTTACAAGTACTGAAGAGGGGTTTTTTTTATGATGTTACACTGTTTACATTTCTTAGTTTATTTAAGAGGAAAATAATCTTACCTTTGCAATGATTTGAAGTAAATTTGCAATTGACATGGGAATGAAATGTTTAAATCATATACAAATATACATCTCTGTTGCTTAACTACTGGCTGTACAGATCAGAAATGTAAAGACACTAGACATTTTTTGCTCAAGTTTTATGCAGTTTGCTGAGAAAAAAGTGCAACACAGTTTGTCATGTATGTTTGTTTGTGATTCAACAAATATCCTTTCCCAGCACCTAAGTGATGTTTTGTTTAAGTGTTAATCATATTAGGGACTGATGCTAAAGCCAAAACA